TAAGAGGAAAGCTGATAGCTGTGAATGCCCACATCACAAAAATAGAGTGAATCCTAAAAAATAAATTTATGATGCATCTCAATGTCTTAGAAAAACCAGAACAATCCAAACCCAAAGGTAGTCCAAGGAGGGACATTCACAAAGACGAGAGCAAAATTAATGAAAGTGATACTGAAAACACAAAGGATCTATGAGTAAAACAGCTCATTCTTTGAAAGAATAAACAAAATGGACAAACTTTTAGCCAATTTTGCACAAAGGGAAAGAGAAGACCCCAATTAATATAATTACAAATAAAAAAGTTGAAATCACAATGGACACTGTAAGCTCCAGAAGATTATTAGCAACTACTCCACAAACCTGTATGCCAGAAATTGGAGAATGCGAAAGAAACAGAGAGATTCCTAGATACACAAGAATTACAAAAACTGAACCAAGAAGATATAAAAGCCCCGAGTAATCCAATAAAATGCAGTGAAATTGAAGCAATAGCAAAAATTACTGAGAAAAGCCCAGATCCCAGTTGATTTACCTCTGAATTGTAGAAGAGCTTCAGGGTGGATCTAACGTCAATACTCTTCAAATTCTTTAATGAAATTGAAAAGGAAGGAGTACTCCCAAAGTCATTCCTGGAAGCTAGCATTACCCTGATTCCAAACACAGACAAGGATCCAACCAAAAAAGAAAACTATAGGCCAATCTCTTTTTTGGTACTGGGGATCGAACTTGGGCCCTTGCGCTTGAGAGGCAGGCATCAGAACCACTGAGCTAAATCCCCAGCCCATTGGCCAAGCTCTTTAATGGCCATAGATGCAAAAATTCCCAACAAGATCCTAACAAACAGAATGCAACCAAGCATGGGCAACATCATACATCATGACCAAGTAGGCTTCGTCCCAGGGATGCAAGGATGGCTTAACATACGCAAATCAATAAATGCAATACATCACATAAACAGAAGCAAGGACAAAAATCACACGGTTGTCTCAATAGACACAGGAAAAGAATTTGATGAATCCAACACCCATTCATGATAAAAACCTGAAGAAAATAGGCACAGAAGGGCCTTATCTCGATCTTAAGAGCGCTGCTAATGGCAAACCTACTACCAACTGATTTTTCCTCTAAAATCAGGAAGGAGAAAAGAATGTCCACTGTCACCACTTCTGTTTAGTGTAGTACTCGAAATATTAGGCAGAACAATTAAGCAAGAGCAAAAAATAGAAATGTATAGGAAAGGAAGAAGACAAAATGATCAATATTTTCAGATAACACTGATCCACCTACATAGAAGGCCCAAAAACTCCACCAAAAGACTTCTAGAATTAGTAACCGAAGTCGACATTGAAGCAGGGTGCAAAGTCAACACACAAAGTCAGTAGCACTCCTCTGATCAACAGAGAGCTCTATGAGAAAGAAATTAGAAAAACAATACCACTCACAATAGCATCAATACATTGTAAATACTATGAATCAACCTGACTAAGGAAGTAAGTGACCACTACAAGGAAACCGCGGTCCTTTGAGAAAGGAGATCGAAGAGCACATCAGAAAATGGAATGATATCCCCTGTTCCTGGTTAGGCAGAACCAAGTTAGTCAAAATGGGCAAATTTCCAAAACTGATAAGCAGATTTCACACCATCTCAGTCAAAATATCAATAGCATTCCTCACAGCACTAGAGCAAATAATCCTAAAATTCACATGAAACCAGAAAAGATCCAGAACGTCAAAAGCAATCCTGGGCAACAAGAGCAGAGCAGGAGGCATCACAAGCCCTGATTTCACGTTATATTACAGAGGCACACGATAAAGATGGCACAGTACTGGCGCAAAAGGAGACCTGGGCATGAATGGAACAAAATGAGGGCGAGGAACCCACCTCAGGCACATTCGGCCAGCTGATCTTGACAGAGGTCAAGCCCCTACACTGGAGGAAAGATAACGGCTTTAGTAAAAGTAACGCTGGCTATCCACATGCAGAAGATGGAATCTAGACCCACGTATCTCTCCGTGGACTAAAATAAAACAAAAATGGACCAAGGAGCCAAAGGTTAAAACAGAAATGCTAATTTGGTAGAGCTCTAAAAGACACAGGTGTAGGCAAGGACTTCCTTATCAGAACCCTGGCTGTGCAAGACAGAGCATGCAGTGTCAACAAATGTGATCACATCAAATCAAGAAGCTTCTGCACAGCAAAGAACACAACCCACAGAGTGAAGAGACAGCCGACAGAGTGGGAAAAACATTTGCCATGTACTCCCTGAACAGAGGATTAACATCTCGGTTATAGGGTTAGGGTTAGGAAAATGGATGTACTTGCTCAATATAACACCGGGTGAAACAAGCCAGATACGCTGTGTGGTATCTATCATTTGAGTGAGGCAAAGTACAAACAGAGGTAATACAGGATGATAAAGGATGGACAGAGGGGGACAAGGGGCTGGACCTCTTGCAATCAGGAAGTGCTCCATGGGAAAGAGGGCACGGGGTGAGGAGGAGCGAAAGGAGAAATAAGAGGATGAAGATCTGCCACGGACAGGAGCCGAAGACTCCCAGAGACTATAAAGACAACATGAAATATGCCGTAGACACGAGGTAAGATCAATGATATCAACAAGAATGAAAATAGGGATGCGGGTAAGAGGAAGAGGAGGGCAGGGAAGGGAAGGGGATTAAAAAAAAGAAAGGAGCTGTGTTATGCATCTGTACCCACCCCCAAGATGACTGGAAACAGCATGTACTGCGAACATGTACTAAGAAGACACAAATTAAAAATCGAATAAACTGATGATTAAAAAGTATTAGACCATCCACATAAAAGATCCAATCAAAAAGTGGGCAACTAAAAGAATAGACCCTTCTCAAAAGCCGCGCAAGTGGTCAACACATGAGAGAAACACTCAACATCTCTGACCGTCAGAGAGATGCAAATTAAAATAACAGCGAGCTTCTACCTTCAAAAGAATGGCTACCATCGAGAAATCAAAGAATCATCAATGCTGGTGAGGCCGTGGGGGGAAAAGAACCCCTCTGCACTGTTGGTGGGAGTGCAAACCAGCGCAGCCCTATGGAAATCAGCGCGGAGATCCTTCAAAAAGCTAAGCACTGTTAAGTCCCTGACGTATGAACCAGTTCCACTCCCGGAGAATCGTTCCTACGTTAGATTCCTCCATAAGCGGATGAAGCGAGCCTCAGTCAGTTCACAAGGCGAATGTCCGGAAGCCGGGGGTGTACTGTGTGCAAATCCACTTGATGCGGCTGTTCCCTTCGTAGGGTATCTTTCCCACCGTGCTAAAGACATCATATTGCAGTGGTCCGCGGACACTCACGTTTATAGCATTGTAACTCATAATAACTAAACCCTGGACGCAGCCTTCACGTCCGTCAACAGACGGAAAGATGGATAAAATGTAGTATTTACAAACAGTGGAGCCCCACGGTGCTTTGCCACAGAGAAGGATAAATCTGAGTCTTTTGTAGAGACCTCGAGACTGTAGTGTTAAGTGAAACAATAGATCAGACTCAGCAAGCTTAGATACGGCCTGGCTTCTCTTATGCCAAAATGACAGTAAGTTTTAGCACAAAATCACAGGAATCAGGGAGACAGATATTTTGCAAATGGGAAGGTAACCAAGAGTTATAGGGAGGATGTAAGGAGGTTGGAGACGGGGACACAAACAGCAGCAGTATGTGTGAGGTACACGTACTAAGTCTTCACGACGCAGGTGATCATTGTGTACTGCAAGCATGCACTGACAAAAGCAAAAATTAAAAACACGGAAATTTTACATCTTTATGGTTAGCGTCTGATGGTTCAACACATGTAGACATTACATAAAGTTTAAATGTAAGTAAGTATCTCTCTGCTTAAACATTCACCATTTCTTTATGATGAAAACTGAACACCCACAAGTAAGCGGAGTGGTTTCAGTCCGTGGTCAGCTGGGTTCACGCAGGGCAGCACGGCACAGGGGCCTGGCGGAGCGGAGCTGCTCACCTCGTGGGTCAGGAGGCAGAGAGAGAAGGGAGGAGCCGGGGAGGGACACGCACCCTCCGTGGTGAGAACCCAGTTGTTCTGCGTCCTGCTGCTCTTCGCACCCCACCCCCATGGACGGTGCTGATTTGCCTGGGGCACCAGGATGTCCAGCGAGAAGGGTCAGAGGCTGCCGGGGCTCCCTCCTCTCTGCGGTGACTCTGCTCTCTGCCCCCATGGTGGAGTGTTTGGGCACAGGTGACGCAACAGCGGGACTCAGTAAAAGTAGAGCCATCCTGATGAGTCTGAATTTACCACCCGGCCCAGCTGCCCTCCTTTGAATTTAAGTAGCTCCTTTCATCCAGCAAGTTCAAAGCTGCCTAACAAAATAAACCCTCGTATTCTTGGACCACGGCAGAGTAGGCAGGCGGGGCTCTTCCCACTGGGGGGTGCGGTGTGTGTGAGTCACTGTCTTAGTCGCTTTCCTCTCATTGCTGAGACAAAACATCTGACACCTAAAGCTGAAGCGAAAGGGTTTATCTGGCTCAAGTGTGTAGAGGTTCCGGTCCATAAGCAGCTGATTCCAAGGCAGGCTGGCCCATGGCAGAGGGGCTACGGTTCATGGTGGACCGCAGGTAGCAAAGCAACGACAGAAGCTGAGCAGCATGCTTCTGCTCCCTTTATCCCGCCCAGGCTACGGGGGTTAGGGCGGTGCCAAACCAATCAGTGGACTGGTTTAGTAATCACAGCATCGCACACTGTAGGTCCAGCCACCTCTGAACAAGCCGCCTACGACCACCTGAGGCTCTGGGTGACAGCTAGACCCCACGGCGACAGTCGCTCCCAGGTGGAAGGGTGCTGGGAACTGACCTGGGCCCCTGCAGCTCACACCATGGCTCTGCGGTTGCCAATGGGAAGAGGCGTGATGAGCCTGGGCGTGCAGAGAGGGGAGAGACGCTGGGCCCAGAAGTTATCACACGGAGGGTGAGTGCGGAACGCACGTATGAGCCCCTCTGGACCCCAGACGGGCCCCCGGGACCAGCACCGGCACCACTCTCATCGCCGCCTCCGTCAGCGATCCTCCCGTCAGAAGACCACTCCCGTCCCGTCCAGTTGGAGCCCAGCACAGATCTCAGTGGCAGAGAGGCTGACTTGCGGACACCCCTGTACTCCGTACAGCAACCCCCGGAAGTCAGTGCCGCTCTCTCCCTATTTTTGAAGACGAGGAGCCTGGGGAGACTGCACAGCTCCTGGGTGGTGAAGCCAGGGGACGGAGCTCTTCGCTGTGACCTGGCTGCCGTGGGGAAGGGACATCCGATGAGGCTTCACGGCAGCCCCTGTCAGCTCTGGGGTGGGCTTCACAGCGTCCTCCCTGGCCCCCTTCCTCCTCTCCCTGGCGTGGCTCCTCTACCAGCCAGTCCAGGGCGCGCAGCAGCCGCCCGGCCCGGGGGCTCTCCCTGCGAGAAGGGCCGGCAGGGCGCTCAGCTCCGGCAGGTGTGCGCGTGTGCGCGCTGCCTCCGCCCCCCTCCCTCCTCTCAGCTCCTCCCACTTACTTGGTGGGCACGGAAGCCTCCGCCACCTGCCCGTCCCCGGGGAACCTGCCGACCACCTTTTGCATTTCTAAAAACATACTTCCTGGGGGCCGTGGGGCGATGCATGGGCCATGACCACCGCCCCGCCTGTAGTCTCCAGAACAACAAGAACCCCAGCTCCAAATAACTGACTTCAGGGCTGCCGAGGAGACGGTGCTGAGGGTCCCAGCGAGGCCGGGGTGCTGAGCCCTCTCGGAGCCACCAGAAGGGCAGGGCGCAGAGGAACCTCCTTTGAGAAATGAGGGTCACATGACATCAGCCTTGTCCCCAGCCAAGGCTGGACTGGATCTCGGGGCCGTAGTTTGGGAAGAAATCAGGTGGGGAGGAGAGGACCGGAAATCTGGGGCGTGGGCCACCCAGTTAAATGTCACCACGCTTGTCCTGGACCTGTTTGCTCAGCATGCCCAGCGTATCGGAGGGCAGGGCTGTCCTGTGCCCCTCCCCAGCCGTCCCCCACCCTGGGACCCTGTCACACAACACGGCAGACCCCACTTCCAGGAGCTCACAGGTCCCTCACCAACTCATCAGCAGATTCCCTCAGGTCTTTTGCTCTTTGGAAACCCAGAAAGAGGCTAGAATTAGTCACAGGCGACAGCAGCCTGGTGTACTCACCGGCCGGTCTTCTGCAGCCTCTGTCCGAAAGCCTGCACCACCTCCTCTGCATAGGCAGCCAGCAGGGTGACAGGGTGCCTGGGGGTCAGCGGGACCCACAGGTCCTGGGCCGCGGGTCACTCGGGCATCGGGTGGCCCTGCTGCCGGTCAGCTCAATGCATCCCGCTGCTTCTCAGCTTTGTGCTCTCTGTGTTGGCTCCTGTGCAGAGGCCTGGCTTCGCAGGACGCCTTCTGGGTCTCCTCCTCCTCTCTTAGGAAACACATCTCTCCTGCTCCCCGGCTTTCTCCATTTCGCTGATCTTTCTGCTTCGCCGGAGGCTCCACTTTTGCTCTCCCAGTGAAACAGCGCTCGGCTCTTCGCAGACTCAGCGTCTAATATGGCGCCTCCATGAGGCAACACTGGCCAGTCGGTGGAGAAGACCACGGCAGTCGGAGAAGGCTGTGGCTCTTAGTCTGTGCTCGGGGAGACACGGAGATGAGGGCGGGCTGAGGAAGCTTCTCCTTGCTGGAAGGAAGCGGGCCCTGGAGGCCCCACGAGGGAGGGCTCCACTTTGGGCGCAGCCACCTCCCCATGCATCTCAGGTGGCCGCGAGGAGGCAGGAGCTTCCCTGCCGCCAGCCACTGCCTGGTCTTGTGCCTGTCATCTGGAGAGTCTTGGTGGCACCTGCCTCGGGGCCCACCTGTCTCCCTTCTCCTTGTGTCGGAAGAAAAGAAAATGTGATTTTATTACAAGTCCAAGGCTCCTCTGTAGTATGCTGGGGCTTTTCATCTGAGTGGCACTGTAATAAGCAGTGATGATGGCCTTGCACGGGGCGGTGCAGGCCGAGGCCACAGGAATATGACCAGAAAGCTGCTGGGAGAAACAAGCCCATAAGTCATCAGGGAGGCGGCAGACCAGGCTGGAGCCCAGGCGCAGTGAGCCTGGGAGGTGCTCGGGGAGCCCGGGTGGTACCCTGCGGTGCCTGTCATTATGCAACCTTTACACATCCCTTAGATCTTCAGCTTCTCCCTTCCCAAACTAACCGCAGCCAGCCAGCCCGGCAAAATGCCCTGCTTCTGGCAGCTCAGCATTTCTGCTCCTGGTGCCTGGACCCTGGGACTCATGGTACAGTCACAGCCATCCTCTGGTACAAAACCTTCTGCTTGTGGTTCTGAAAGCGGTGCACGCAAACCGGTGGGCTCAGGGCCGGGACACCCGGGAGAGAACCTGCTACATCATCCTGGTGCGTCCCTTTCGCTTCGAGTTGGGGAAAATGTTCGAAGGTCTGACTGGAAATTTAAAGCAATTGTGAACATTAGACCTGGCACTGTGGACACCTCCTTGATTCACATGGCCTTTTAAGGTCAGGTGACGCCATCCCTGTGCGGCCTCCTTCGACCTCTCTGGACTTTCCCGGTGGGGCTGCTCACGGTTGGGATGAGACGGACACCCAGCGGGAACGCGCAGTGGACGCTTCCTTATTCATGCAGCCTCTGATGCTTTTCCAGGACGCCTGAAATGCATTTACACGGATTTCTCAGCTTGTATTCTCCAGCCCTTTTTCCAAAATGTCTCTTCTCTGAGAAACTTCCCTGTTCTCAAATTGATGATCAGAGCCTCTGCTTTTAAAGTTCTCTTCTCTGTAGCTGTCTTTCTCTTTTTGAGCTGTCTTAAGTGATAACAGAGGGCCCTAAAAAATCACCCAAGCTTTTTCTTTCCCCCACGGTGCACTTCAGTTCCAATTATTTGCCTCAATCGCTCCTCTCCATCCTGGGATGCTGCTTCTTCTGGAGATGCTCCTGCCTCAGCTGAGGGAAAGACAGCCGGGGGCTGGAACGTAATGCCACCTCTTCCCCAGCCCGGGCTCTGTGTCCCAGGAGATGCCCGGTGGGCCCGGACACTAGTGCAAGTGTGCAGGATTGTGTGATACAAGGGATGGCATGGGGTGGATGCACCCCTAATTACCAGGCGCTGGACGGCTTGGCCCTTTTGAAGGTGTACCACAGAGCTCTGATTTCATGGGTGTCTTCCCACACAAGAGTCCTGACTGAGCAAGAAGCTCAGCTAAAGAATTTTATGGGACAGGGGACTCTTCCGAGGAAAGCCAATAACATTCTGCAGGACAGGATGTCTGGAAACTAGTGAAGTACAAAGAAAAAAGACATTACACGCTGTGCCCACACCCTCTGGGGAAGGAGTATAAATGCTGGCCAAAAGCAGGAGCCCCACAACCTCTGTGTCTTGGAGAACTTGGATCCGTCTTCAGCCCGGCACCTCGCTCCCTCGGCACCATGCCCTACAACTGCTGCCCGCCCGCCCCGAGCTGCCGCACCAGCTGCGCCTCCCGGCCCTGCGTGCCCCCCAGCTGCCACGGCTGCACCCTGCCCGGGGCCTGCAACATCCCCGCCAACGTGGGCAGCTGCAACTGGTTCTGCGAGGGCTCCTTCAACGGCAGCGAGAAGGAGACCATGC